ATTTATTTTTAATATATTTTTAATAGTATGATAAATATCTAATATGTTCTTAAATGTTGATTCCTTTTCGATAGAGTATTAACATTGGAATGAAAATAATATTATATATAAAGCGTTAACTGTGTACTTTATTATTAGCTATAATCATATTATTTAAAGTGGAAACATTTTAAAGTTTGTTATCAATACTAATTTAAACGGTATTTTTTTAAAATTATTTATACTTTAAAATAAAAGTTTTTAATACAATTTTCTTATTTGATTAAAATTGTTATTTTGTAATTTTATTTAAAAATGAATAGTACTCCAATGTTGTTTATTCGAAATATCGTCACTTGACAAAGTATAACATCTTATATTGACACTGTTAATTATAGCTTAAAAATATATTCCAGTATAGCTTTAAATTTTTCAAAAAAAATACTTAAATTATGTAAGCACATATGTATCTTTAGTTTATCAATAATGTTTGAAGGAAAACTACAATAACTACTATAGGTTATAATTTTTATTTGTTTCGAGAAAACATTGTAACTTGTAAGAATGGGTAACCATTAAAATTATTTTTGCATGTCATATATTTATTGTACCTAATTTACATTTTATGTTCAGGTATGTGGGTAGTTGAATCTTTGAAAATGTATGATACATTTGATATACACCTATACATAATATTTTTTTGAGAATATTAATTATATAACTTATAAGTAGATCATAGAATAGTATGAAATTATTATATAATCTACTTATCTATATTTTATTTGTTACTCTAATGTCCTTTCAAAAAAATCTTTATTGAAATCAATATACTTCTTAAAGAACTTTGGTAATAGTATAATATAATATGGTAATCGTACTAATTTCATTTAGAATATTCAATATTTAATCACATTTGAAATATAGCTATCATTGGTGTAAAAATATTTTATTGTTCTGCTTATTACTTATTCATTCTTATAATAAATTGTGCATTGCTGAAATAAAATTACCATATATTTAAATATAGTAATGAATTAGATCAAATCAACAACAATGTGTGAGTGCCTAATGCCTATTACTTTTTGCAATGATGCAATTATACAGGAAGTGATTTTTTTTATTTGCTGAATTAAGTGATTGAACAAAAATTATTGGATTTTAGTAATAACAACAATAAAAACAAATTCAATTATCATTATCATTTTTTTATTATTAATGGTATATACTTTACAGTTTATACCATTAATATTAATAATGAAAAAAACATAAATATTTATATTTTTAAATGTTCGTTAAATATATCTTATATGATAAATTGATAACTCAAATTGTAAGTTCTTGTTTTAATAATGATATAATTTTATTAATAGGGGACGAGGTTACCGAGTGGTCTGACGCGTCCGCTGCGACGCAGCCGGTCGCGGTTCGATCCTCGGCCACCGGGCGGCATTTTTCTCCGGACAAGTCGCGGTGACCGGAGAACAAGTGCTGCCATCCCCCACCCCCGGGGCATGGCAGAAACCTACGGGTGCCCCATTCGAAATTCTGCCAAATCAAACACACACGTGTTCCCCCCTACCGTTCCAAAAACCTACAATACAAACTTATACAACACAAAAACCCAATGGCCTATGTCTCCGAGGGCTCTCTCCTTGAAATTAAAAAAAAAAAAATTTTATTAATACAAAATATATTTGATAAGGTAATTTGTTGGAATTGTCGTATACCTATCTTTCGAATGGTACACAAAATTGAGATGACAATTAACAATTCACACTATTTAAAATTACTTTTATTATTTTTAAACAAACACAAACAATGAAAGTATGAAACAAACATACGGGCCTTGCCGAAGGACCCGCACTGAATAGGTAGACGACAAAATTTTCAGCAAAATGACTAAAATTATATTCAATAAATTTATTTTAGTTGTAAAAACCAAAATATGCCAAAGTCATGCTAATTTCTGAATTTTATAAGTGTTGATCACATTATTAACCACATGTAATTGCAATTAGCAAAGTGTTTGCATTGACATAGTTGATAATAAATGTTAAGTCCATTGTCCATAACGGCAGTAGTAATTATGTCATTCCAAAAGGGTCATGTTGTTATATTTGATGAAAAACTAGTTTTCAGGGGTAAAAATATAATGAAAAAAGAATTTAAAGGCTTCGCATGAATAACTTATGAGCGTTACTACTACCTGTTCAAGGGTTAAACAGCAGGTTATAAATAGTTGGTCAAAAATTAGTTTATATAACATCTATTATAAGGGTAGGTTATCGGAAATATACTGTTGTTGTGCAACATTTTTGGCTTCACTTATTTCTCCTCTCCCCACTACCACCGTGGTATTTTTGTCGTTGAATTTCCGTGATTTATTATAGCCTATTTTGAATTAAAGAAAGATATTATTAGGATAGGTCAATATAAGTAGGATATACAGCTATAAGCTCTCGAGGGAATTTTATAAAAAAAATAATACCATACCTAAATATTTTGTTTGACGTTGTATTTATACGTATACACTATATACGTATAAACGTAGCTGGGATATTTCAGTTGATTATATTATTAAACAGTATGTCGCAACCCACCCATAAGCGGATAACTCCATAGGTTTACTCAGAAAGAATGATTTTAATTTTATTATATTTATACCGTACGGTATTCAAGCCTAGTAGTTTACTCATTCTGCTTCTACGCATACGTCGTATAGCTATTATTGACTAATGTAGTAATGTACCTTCTTTTGTTGACATACAAAAGCTATTAAATCACAAGCAACAATCATAAACATATGATAAACGAAATTATATTTATATGTACTTGTATAGGACGGAAGTAAAAACCAAAACATTTTAATTGTTTGTTTGTTTGTTATTTTATGGTTTGTGAATGAGTGGAAACATAAATATTTGAATGGTCTTTATTTGTTACGGGGAACTTAATGTTTTGTTTGTAGTTTTTTCAAATACTCTTCTTAGAACTCATTCATCTCTACAAACCTTTAAAGCTATTAATTGTTATAAACTTATAAATATTTTATTGTGTGGCGCACTGGTGCTAGACAAGTTTTCTTGGATTTTAATTTTTAATTTTCTCACTAGACAACAACAGAATATTTTAAAATTAAGTACTTTACTTATAGTCTATAGAAGTTAAAATTTATCTCTTTTGAAAATAATAAACCTAAACCTTTTACCGAATATTGTTGATTAAATAAATGGTTATTGAAAAAAATTTATAGTTGAAATAAGTACTATTAGGTAGGTATAAAGCATTGACAAAATAGTAAACACAAATTATAGTTATTCCATCAAATTTAATATTATAGTTTATTGAGATATTATATACCTCAAAAAGTATTAACTTAAGTTCGAAAAATATAAAAACTAATAAACACCGTTATATGGATATTTTGTGAAACGAAAATTTGTCTACTATAAATACTTTATGATGCCATAAAGAAAAAATATTGAAGTAGAGAGAGTTTTAGTTTATTTTGGATGTAACTGGGTTAATCTACTTTAAACTATAAATATTTATTTTCAATAGCCAACAAATGAATTAAACTTCATCCATTGGCTATGCGTCTAAACTCTATACTTAAAACAAGTTTATATTGATATTTGATGAATTAATATTTTAATCATGCTTTTGAGAATTTTGTAATATAGTTCAATAAAATGAAATATAAATATGTCTCAATATTAAATATTTGTCTACAAAATGAGCTCATAATAATATTTCAAATGTTTAAATGTTATTAAAAAAATTATGATAAAGTATGGGCTAAAAATCAATTTTAAATTTAATGAAAACAAGATTTAAATTGGGACAAAATATATTCAACAGGTGTTGGTTTTTATAATTATAAAATAAAATAAAATAATAAGTTTGTTGTAATTTGAATTTTATGTTAATTATGAATGATGAATCATTATTATAATTGTAACACGGGTATAATTGGCCACTTATAAACATGAAGACTAAAAATAGACGTTGTTTTAACATTTTAACTATGGTAAATTATGCACATTTTTAAAAAAAACTTTTAATCTACTAGATTCTACAAATAAATATCTTAAATTATTTCATAGTTTTCATTTAATGTCAGAATGTTAACTAATTAATCCTTAATTTACTTATAAGGCTTTATCTGAGACTTTCATTTGAGACTTTTTTGACTAATAAAACTATACTATTATTATGGAAAAGATTACACTTTTTTGGAAATTTTTTTTTATATTATTATTTATTTCGAATAATTACGAAGCAACATTTTTGAAAACAATTATAATATTTAAGAATTTTTTTTTTTTGAATTATCATGTACAAAACTAGAATTTTGTAACGGGTAGTTAATTAATTATAACACTTATAAAGTTGTAACTTATAAATATTTAAAATTTAAATGAGCCACGCTCCAAAATTGACGTTCCACTTCTCCTAGCATCCAAACGTTGAATACTTATAAGTTATAACTGTAATTAGTTACTGTATCAAAAATAAAATGTATACATTAAAAGTATAGATTTAATATATATCATTATAAGTATCAAATGTACATTTGTGAAAATAATTGTCCAATGTAGATTTTTAGCTTAAGACAATACATTTGAGGTTTTTTATTTGAATGATGGTTAATATTTGTTTAAATCATCAATCGTTATTTGAAAATTTAATGCTAATATTGTTTTTTAGCTTAACCTGTAAATATAAACTAAAATTAAATCATAACATTTTTTTTATGAATAGGCCCTAAAAAAATCATAAAATATCAAAGTACAAGTTATTTGTTTAGTATGCAAGTTGGAATATGAAAAATCGGCATGCTTTCATTCAGAACATTGTCATTCTAAAGAGCACAAGTCGCTCTACTAACATAAAATAATCAATTAAAACCAGAACTACGTTTAAAAACGGTTCTCATCTAGTGTATTTTTACAAAGGATTATGTACAAGGTCATAATATGTTTACATCACTAGTTAGCCTAAACATTCAAACCGATTACCTGGGATCATTTCTTGATTCAATTTTACGTCGACGTTTTGATAACTACCTAGAAACATTATATAGTACAATTAAAATCACTAAATCGTTTAAAAACATATTTACTAGAATTTTTATTCTTAGTTTAAAACCAAATAAATATTTGATTTCATTATTAATTTAGCGCATACATTAGATACTTTATTTTTTGTGTTTTAAAGTCTTAACATAATTAGTAACTTCTATGTTTCATCACTAAAATATAATATTTTATACTTATTTTATATTTAATCTTATTATATATTATAATATATCGATAATCGTTAGTATGAAAATGTGTTACATTTTTAAATTAAAAGTTAGTTTCTATCTAACACTAAGATGGGTAAGAAAACTATATACCAACTACTTGTTTAAAATTAGAAGCTCCAGCTTTATGTAAGGGAAATTACTTGGCTAGTTGTATAGGCTACCAACTCTCACAAAGACCTCCAATATCATCATCAAACCTAAAAAAAAACCACATCCCCAAAATGTAAATTTTCAGTTGCACAAACTGCTTCACCAGAAACTTCCTCAACCAACTCATATACCTGAACAGCAGAACCTTTCACTTTTACTCACAAGCTTCTGCTAATAACCATACATCCACACAACACCGATATGATTAAACCTCTTCAAATCTTATTTTAATCCCGAACCGATTTATAACAGGGATCAAATTCCCTGACATGCCTTTGATTTTTTTTTAATCATAGTTATTAGGAGCACCACCAAAAAAATAGCTTATAACCACTCTTAATCCACTTCGTATCCTTCAACAAATGAAGTGCCAATGATATCCTAAAACCTAAACCATTAAAATTAATTAACCGCGATCGCACACGAGCAAAAATTCCTGTAAATGTTGACAGTGGGCTACTTCTTTTTAAAATCACTCATGCTATAAGCCACTAATATTTTTCTACTTAAGATTGTGTGGATTGTAAGACGAAATAAAGGTTTCTATATGTATATATTAATTGTTTTATGCAATTATTGTGGAATTATTGAATTTTCACGACTTTATTGGTACCTAGAGCTATAATTACTATATGAAATAATAGTAAACTAATAATTGTAAAATATGATACGATATACTACTTGTATTTGGAAAAAATCAGTTCAACAAAATAAATTATAAATAGCATTATAAATATATTATAAAATATCCTCAGAAATAAATGCTGAAAACTGTATCTGCTCACTTGTTCAGAATCGTATTCCGTATGAAATGGTTTAAAATTTAATTTAAATTTCATACTTCGATTATGGTGACCTATTCTCAATGGTGGGGTACACTCAACTACTCAACGTCAACACAAACGGCAGATCGATTTTCCCGTTTTTTTTCCTAATATAATGTGGATGATAATTTTAGTCCATTTCGTAAAATTAACATTAATTTGTATACGCCAAAAATGTATGTACGAGTACGACATGGAAAACGTTTTACGAAATGAATATGTTATATTTTTCCACGCATGGTGAAATTGTTTCTTTCATGACTATAATAATGGACATTCACACAATAAATGAATATAATTATCGCATTCTCCATGATATTATACACAACTGTATAGTATTCGTTCATCAATATCTTATAATTTTATTTATATTATAAAACATTTAAAATAGATTCCTATTATACCGTATTAATAATTTGTTAAGTTCAGAAGGCAAACACGTTTCGACAGGTACACACATGGTGTGAAACTTTGTACTTAAATAAATCAGACCTTAATTATAATAAAATATTAAATTGTAAATTTTAGTTAATATAGAGTGTTTAACAACTGAGCGATAACATTTACTGATCTATAAGTCAAAGAGAAATGTCACCGTAATGAAAATCAATGAGACGGCGTATTGTTTATGCAATATTGATACATAGGTGTTACGGAATTTGTTTTGTATTATAAATTACTGACATCCATAATAGGTTAATACAATACTATAATTCATTTTTAAATATTATTCATGGACGTTCATTTTTATGTATTATATTACGATTATACGGCAGTGACATTTTTCTATTTCGACGTTTTCATTTTTTTAGTATATTGTTTAGTCGATTAACAAGAATTTCTATTTTCAAGTGTAAGAAAAAATATTTTTATCCACACGAAAATGCATTAACTTTTTGTTAAATAATACGTTCTTTTGTTATAAAAACTTATTGTTTCGCAGTTAATAAATTACTATCGATTTGCACAGTCACCATTAACCCAACCCTTTACTAACCCATGCTTCGATTTATTAAATGATACAGTTAATTCATTTTTATGTATTACCGATGACACAGATTTTATTTTGAACGTTATTAATTTTTTTGGAACTCTCATAGCGACATTATCACTGGTTTTAGATATTTTTTTCAATAAATCAATAATGTAAAACAAATAATAAATATATCATATATTTATACAGCGGAAATACCACGTACCACGATCATTAGTTATTATTTAATTATTATTAGCCATTTGTTAAATTATAAATTTTTGATGTTCATCATCCCATTCCATAATCTAAATAAATTTTTTGTTATTGTTAATTAGTATATGTGTCCATCTAATTTGTACTAAAAAAAATGTAGAAAAATTGCTCAAATTATAACTATTTATATTTTAATGGCTTAAGTGTAGTTTAGAGTTTTTCATAGTTGTATAACCGTGATTTGTGTTAGTGTCAATTGCATATTACTTAGGAAAATGGTATATTGTAATGATTTAGGTTATTTAACTGTCTACAAAAAAAAAAATGATATTGAAAACAAACGAATAGTATTGATCAAGAGGACAAATGTTGCTTGTAATATTATGCAAAATTCTGATAACGATACAATTCTATTTTTGGATGAATCTCCATTGACGATATTATTGACGCATTCATTCACAAAAATACGAAACACAAACAGAGGTGGCGATTAAGTGAAGAGGATGCTTCAGCGAAAAAAAATGTAACGGACTATGAGAAACTGCTTTTGTATGAATCTTTTTATAGAACTCCCAAATATAAAATATTTAAATATTTAATTGAGAACAATACTTTTTATGAAAATAAGAAATGTTTTTGTTCAGTACTTTTAATATTTATATTTTTTAAATGCTGCACATTGGATACATTTTCAAGGAGTGAGTGGGTTCATTAAATTATTGATTTTTTAAATGAACACGAAGATCACCAGAAAAACTTAAAACTGTTGTACAATATATAAAAACTTATATAATTGCGAAGAGAAATATATCTTATCATTATTAACTTAATGAAGAACTTTATTAATATTGTATGAACTGCTGAATTTAATATTATGATAATTTCTTGTTTCATTTAATCTTCAAAAAGGATTATTTAAAAGTGTTTTAGGAAAGCTGAGTAGTAAAGGATTACGCGAAGAAAGTTTTTTACGGGAATTATTTCAAAGTATTTACACTAATATTTTTCCAAGTTTCTTTAGTATCCGTGGACTCGAGAGTTGAGTAACATTTTGTGCATGGTATCTCATGGTTTACTGAACCGTGGATTAAGGACGACAAGTAGGAGTTATAAGAATTTAGTGAAATTCAAGACATATTTCGTTTGATTTAAAATGCTCGAAGAAATTATTCTAATTCTTTACGAACCGACTTGATGCCGTTTACAACCTACTTTGGGCGTGCCGCACGCGTGTAATATTATTCTCTGCAAATGTCTCTAGAAGACCGTGACAGTGTGGGTGATTGTGAAATATTCGCAATGACGTGTAAAAATACATGCATAATTATACACGCGATCCAATAAACAGAACAAGCGTGCCGAGCTGAATAATGTAACGTGATGTATGTATGCATGAAACGCATGTGGAACACACGTGTACCCATAACGTATATAGGTTTTGCGAAACATAAATCGAAACAGCGTCATGACTCAGCGCAGAATATAATATTTTGAAAGATGAACTCCGCAATATTATTATTCACGGTTATTTTATGAACGATTTAAAATCCAGTCGGGATCAAACATTATCATAGTATTACACGTTTTACAATCTGAACGATTACGAGTGCATTGTGTGGTATTATGCGGTTTTATACATTGTATATTCTGTCTAGTCAAAAATTCTGGTGGACATACGCGAATACTGGATATCTTATATGTATATATATACGTCGGTGTATCTGTTTACGAATCATCCGTCTATCTCGTATGGCGTGTTATATTGTTTTTCCAATGACGTTTCGCTGTCCAATATTGCGTTTGCATTAAATTTCACGTGTCTGCGGATTGCGTTATATGTTTGCCGGAAAATCGTAAAACAACAAGAAGAAATAATATCGAACGGAACGCGAGAGGGGACGATAGAAAAAAATTATTTCCTGGCGGCGTGGAACGGGTTTTTATTTTTGTATTATTTTTTATTTTATTTTTCGTCACCGTCTTTTGAATTATATCTCATACACCCACCCACACACACACACACACACACACACACACACACACACACACACACACATGACGTGGTGGTATTACGGGCGGGATATTTTTCCGACAATTCGATTGCCTGTCGTTATCTCCGGTCGTTTTGTATTATTATATTATTTGCCGAGTAGTCCCTCTGCCGTCGTCTCGTTCGTTCGAGAACCGACNGGACGATAGAAAAAAATTATTTCCTGGCGGCGTGGAACGGGTTTTTATTTTTGTATTATTTTTTATTTTATTTTTCGTCACCGTCTTTTGAATTATCACACACACACACACACACACACACACACACACACACACACACACACACACACACACACACACACACACACACACACACACTCACACGCTGCATTCCTGTATATTCGATTGCCTGTCGTTATCTCCGGTCGTTTTGTATTATTATATTATTTGCCGAGTAGTCCCTCTGCCGTCGTCTCGTTCGTTCGAGAACCGACGGCGACGGCCATGACGACGCGTATAGCACCAAGAACTGTGTGTGGTGGCGCAAGAGTACAACCATAGCTAGCCGCCTCCGCCGCCGCCGCTGCCGCCGCCGCCGCCGTACTT